TAGACTAATTTATTTCCTAATTCAAAAATAACCAAAAAATCTTTTCTTTAACAATTAAAGGGTCAAAACCCTAAAAACTTGCGCCCGATTTAATTTCCTGCACGCGATCCATTTGATATCATATTTGTATTTGTTCCCGGAATGTAATAGCTTAATAGGACTTTAAATATTTTTATCGCTTTATTTATTTTCCGCATTTAAATTTCAAAGGGTTGCTTTTGGCGATGTAAATACCCGACGCCTTGTAATAGTTAGTTAAATTTCCGCATTTTATTTTCCACAAAATATAACTGCTAGATGTTTGATAATAGGGATACATGACAAGAATGAATGTTTAACCTAAAATCAACTTAGATCACCATTGACATGTACAAAGATAAAATTAACCGAAAACAACACACTCGCACATGCGCACTCTTAGGGTACACCCCACTTGGTTGCCTTCGTACACGGTCATTGAGTATAGGTTATTTTAGAGGTCGCCCTCTTGTCCAAAGATCATAGTCGCCTCGAAACGGTTGCCTCGGATGTTGTTGCCTCAAAACAAATGATCTAAGACATTAGGGTTACTGCTAAGGCGTCCTAACGTTGCTTTGGTGACCGTAAGTCCCTAAATTCGAATTGACCCTTAAACTCCAACGACGGTGCTACCTACTCATCAATAGTAGGATAGCATTGTCTAAAGGAAGATAGCATAAAACGATTCCTTTTTCGAGTAGGTAGATGGTTCTCAGGTACTTGCTCTTTCCAAAACAAAACAAAACTTTTTACACTTACACCTTTCAAACAAAAATCTTTTTCAAACCCACAAACACAAAGAAAAGCAAATTTTGAAAACAATATGAGCAAGTACCTAAGAGCCCGTGGATAACCACAGATAGAAAGGATGCTAACACCTTCCCTTTCTATAATCTACCCCCCGAACCCGAGAAATATCTCGAAAAATGAATTTTTCTGTGCTTTTTTCCTTTCCTTGTTGGATAAAATAAAAGACGGTGACGACTCTTGCTTACCGCGACATTTTGCAAAAACAAACGCAAAACATAAACCAGCATTCCAAAAAACAGTCAGTTCTTTCCCACCGTATCACACTATCCATTTCATCTTTCCAAGCCACCAAGCTGACACTATTCCAGCAGTCCTACTAATGTTGGTGCAAAGCCCATTTCCCGCCTAGCACATTTTTTCAAAAGCCCAACCTCTAATTGGCATGGCTTCTCTGAAAAAATAGTACTTGGCTGATAGCCTGCCTTAAGCAATGGTTCCACAGTTCAAATAATAGGGACATTGCATTTATAAACCATTGCATCATTTCAATTCATAACATTATCATGTTAAGCATACATAACATACATCATGCATACGTCAAACATAATCATATCAAACATACATACATACATTACATTCAATTATATATGCCCATGGAAATTGCGAAAAATCTCAAGGCATGACTACCAGCTAAGACAAACTCAAAATTCAAATCCAAGCTTATCACTATCCATTCATTTTGCTATCACTACAACTACCTCATTTGAGAACGGACACAATCGTCAAAGGTGCCGCTATCAAAATTTCACTAGGCAACTTACCTACGATTCGTATTCAAGGCCTAATCATCACTAGCCTCCAGGAATTACACTTGAAATTATCAAGTTCAAACCTCTCAAAATATTCAATTTCATTTAGTTATCATGTTGATCAAGCCTTGGTTGAGAACAAACACAACCGGCTTCATTTGCAAAATTCTGGGGTTTATTTCTTCATGGTGATAGTCTTGGTTGAGAATAGACACAACCGACATCATCACTAAATTTTGGGGTTAATTTCCTCATGTTGATAGCCTTGGTTGAGAACAGACACAACCTACATCATCAGTGAAACTTCAGTTTCAATCTTCAAACCTAACATTTTTATGCTAAACAATTACCTTGGTTGAGAACAGACACAACCGGTAAAAAAATCAGATCGCATCTTGGATCTAGTTATCTAATATTTGATCATCAAAAACAACTTTTTCTGCGACATAACTCAATGCGTCAGTCTCCATGCAGCAATGTGGGAAATTCGTAATACAACTCATTGCGTCAGTCTCTATGCAGCAATGTGTTTCCTCCTCTGTGATATAACCCATTGCATCAGTCTTCATGCAGCAATGTGGGAAATCTACGATATAGCTCATTGCGTCAGGATCCATGCAGCAATGTGCGAAATCTGCAATATAACTCATCACCTCAGTCTTCATACAACGATGTAGTTATTAAGCTTTACTAAATTATCTATTCCCTAGGTTGTGATAGATATGCGAATAAATATGCATAATCCATTGCATCAGTCTCCATGCAACAATGTATTATCAAAATGTTTTATTTATCCCCTAGATTGTGATAAATACACAGTTTCCTCCTTTGTAATATAGCTCATTGCGCCAGGCTCTATGCAACAATGTGTGAAATCTGCAATATAACTCATCGCCTCAGTCTCCATGCATCGATGTAGTTATCAAGATTTTTTCAATTATCTATCCCCTAGGTTGCAATAGATATGCGAATAAATCTGCATAATCCATTGCATCAGTCTCCATACGATAATGTATTATCAAACTGTGTTTTATTTATCCCCTAGGTTGTGATAAATACACAGTTTCCTCCTTTGCGATATAACCCATTGCGCCAGTCTCCATACAGTGATGTGGGAAATCTGCGATATAACTCATTGCGTCAGTCTCCATGCAGTGATGTTGTTATCAAGGTTTTTCAATCATCTACCCCCTAGGTTGTGGTAGATGTGCAAATTTCCGGTTCATATTATTCATTCTCTAGGTTGCTATGAATACGTGAATTCATCCTCGAATTATTTTCTCTCTCTCTCTCTCTCAGTTGTAGTGAACATGACGAAGTCAACAATATAACTCATTGCACCAGGCTCCATGCAACAATGTAGTTATCGAGCTTTTCAAATATCTATCCCCTAGGTTGCAGTAGATATACGAATAAATATGCGTAATCTATTGCATCAGTCTCTAGGCAACAATGTGTTATCGGACTTTGTTTTGTTCATCCCTTAGGTTGTGATGAATAGACAAAATCAAATCAAATAAAAACTTACTATATTAGTTTCCAAGCATTAGTAAGTCAAATTTTTCAAAACTTGTATTTTTGTAAACATCCAAAAAAATCTACAATCTCTTAGATACTGACGAGTTATCTGCGGCGTCGTGTCTAAGTTCTAATCAAAACTTCGGTTTGAATGTTGGTAAGATAATGCATCATCATGTATGCCTACTCTTCATATCCATGGGAACATTGTACAGTGCATCCTTATAACCTTTTAACTTGTGTTGTTTACCTCCTAGGTCATGGTAAATACGCAAAAACCTACGATCTCTTTTCTAGGTATTGGCGAGTTATCTGCATCGTCATATCTAAGTCAAACTTACTCTTAAATCATATCTCTCTATTCAAACTCTGGTAGGATGATACATCATTATCTTTGCCTTTTTCTTTATCCAAACTCTGGTAGGATGATACATCATCATCCTTGCCTATTTCTTTAGGCTTTGAGGTATGCTATATCAGCGTATCCTTGTTTAATAAATCTTGGGTTCAAATTTTGTGGTCTTCCATTATTTAATAACCCTTTGATATGAATGTGCGAGACCTGCGCATTCTCGCACCATTCAATTGAAAGGTAATTAAATAGGGGCACCTATCATACTCCAAATTTGTCCGCCCTTAGTGCTACCGTCAAATTTATTTTCGAACTTGGGTTTTAAAATTTCATTGGTTTAATTACATTAATATTTTGGGGTTTTATAAATATTGGTTCTAAAGTCCAGTTAAAAAAATAATAATTTATTTCAAATTATTTGTATTTTTAAATAACAAATACTTGCTCGTCTTCATGTATTTTTAATTGGCACTTTATTTTAAATAAGTAACATAGCACAATTGGTAAAGAATTAAGCTTTCAAATATGAGGTGGCGGGTTCGAATTGCTTATGGTACATTTTTTCTATTTCTTTTTGTTACTCATTTTCTTTCCTTTTTTAGAAATCGAGCTTGGGCTTTTCATACATTTTGGATAACTTAGTCACTAAGTTTTTTCTAACATAATTCAAGTCTATAAATAGGACTCTTGTCCTAAAAATTTATCCACATTTTTACAATCTCTCACAATTTCACTCATTCACACACACTTCATTTTTTTTCTGCAAATTTCTTCTTCTTTCAAAATTTTCTTTTTAATACTGTTGGGGATATTTTTGTTTTGGTCAATTATTTCATATGAGGCCTCCCTCTATTTTTCAATTCTATTTTTTAATTGGTTTGTTATTCTAACCATATGACGATGATCTGATGGTCTAGTTGTTTTCAAAAATTATTTCTTGACAAAACTAGTTATTCTCTCAATTCAAAATTGCACACAGACCACACACATCCAATACACACCGTCCAAATTTGTACACAGTTATGGAGAATTTATGCTTTTGGTTTTGGCTCACCTTACTTATAAATATCATAATAGATTCATGTAAATATATGAATTATCGCTACTCTTTTTATTTACGTTAACATTTTCCTAACTTATATGTGATTACAACTCATGATGTTTGTTATTAGTATTATCTTGGTAAATATAGAGGATATCCCTAATTTAGTTCTTAGAAAAAATTAACCAATTAGTTCTTGAAATCAATTTGTGTTGCAAAACTCATATACAACATCATCACTGCCTCAATTCATATATCATTATTACTCTAATATTTGATATATTGTATCACTGCCAACTAACAAATTGCAGAGTTTATGAATTTTATCTCTAATGAGCTTTGATTTCTATTTTATCCAATCACTACCAACAAAGAGAGAAAAAAACAAACTATATCACAAATCAAAGAAACAGGAAGAGGAAGCAGCTCAGTCACAAAACCCGTCAGTCTTAATCAATAACTGAAAAATAACTATAACAAAACATCACAAGCTGAACATAGCCCTCCACCGATGCAGCCAACCCACCTTCAATCGGCCTTCATCGATGCCACCACAAAATCCGACGAATCTGGAGTCCAACGACAAGAATTGCACACGCAACTCAGCCGGTGCAAAAGTCAACGAGAGCCCTCTGTTTCGCACAGAAAAACAACGTCGTCAGAGATCCACCGTCGAAACTTCCATGATCTGACCGTCTCCCCTTTAAATCCGGATACATCCACAACCGTCTCTACGCAATCATCATGATTCCGCTCAGATTTGCAAAGTCATTCTCTGTTAGCATCCTCTGATTTGTTTTCCATTATGGTTTTTATTCATGTAGTTTGATTAAGAAATGTTTGATTAAATGAGTTTGTGTATGAGATTTATGGGTGTTGATTTTGTTTGGAAAGAAATTAAAAAGAGGGATTGTGAAGGTAGAAGAAAGAATACCGTGAGGGAGGAAGAGATAATTTGGGATGAGTAATTTTTCTCTCCGTTTTACTGTTACTTATATTATTGCTATTATTATTAGTTTAATTTTAGTTAATAGGATTAACTTTAACAAATATTGAAATGGACCTTAGTCTATATATTGATCTAATAGCGACACCCCTTGTTAATTTAGCACCATCTTTAATTTATTTATTTCTTTTATTTATTTAATTTATGTAATATATATATATATATATATATATATATATATATATATATATATATATATATATATATATATATATATATATATATATATATATATATATATATATATATACACACACACAAAAGCTATTTAATTTCGACATATTATCAGTAATCAAATTTTACATCCTCGAGTAATTAGTGGTAGACTTAACGTTTACCAATTAGTTATTAAAAATACAAAATGTATTTTATTAGATTATTTAGTTAAATCTATTTTCTAATTAATTCAAACCTTTTCTTAAATTAAGTTAATTCAATATTTTACAAAGATATTAAAAATCACGCAATTCACTAGTGGACGACACGTGACCAATATCTAGCCACGTGATGAGGACAACTATATCAGATTCCCTCCGCATCCTCCATGACGAGTAACGCATGGCCAATATCTGGCTAGGTGATGAGGAGACTATATCATACTCCCTCACTCTATGCCCTACCATACGTGTCATAAATTCAAAATTCAAAACAACTAACTAACGATCAAACCATTTTTTTACTAACTTAATTAAAACTCTAAATAGATGAGTGGTGCCTAACACCTTTCCTTCATCTAGAACCGAGTCCAAATAACCTAGAATCTCTAACTCTTAGGGTTATCCTTTATATTCCCTTCCTTAGGATAAAAATTAAGGGTGGCGACTCTTATTTCAAAACCAGTTACAACAGAAAAGAATGTGATCCTCTTCTCCTTTAATGAGCAATGCAAAAATAACTCGAAAACCGCAATTACCGCCACCCTTGACATTGACGATTCGTTCAATGTATTTATGCATACAAACTGACATCTCCTTAATGAATGATATTTTTGGTGGAGAGGAGGTGGCTTTCTAATGCAAGCTCATTTGAAAATACTTTTATGAGATTTTAGAGTTGGTGAATCGGGAAAAAGTCTGTAAACATGTTCAAAATATGAAGGAGGCCACATAGGTGAATTGTCATTCGATGTAGGTTTGAACTTCTTAGGAGCTCTTTTTGTTTTTATCTGTTGGAGGATGGTCTCAAGTATGTGGTTTCCGGATATACAATCTTCTTCAATTGCTCTTTGATGTGGAATTTTATATTGTCACGGACTTTCAAAAACCTCTCTTGTATCACTTCCCATTCGGTCAAGATAGAAATATTCTATTTACCGTCTTTCATGACACAATCATCATCAAAACTAAGCCTTTTCCAATGAGTACAAACTTCATCCATTCGTATCAGACTATCAAGTTTCACCTTATTTGATATAACACAAGCACATGGGAGACCATAGATTTTCACAAGTGTACAACCAAATTTTGAGCTATCTGAACCTACATTATCAACTCTTTTGGCTTCGTGAAAAATATAATTCATAGTTGCTCGAGATATTGTTGTCGACCAACTGAGAATATAGAGTGTTGTCGTTGAACCAGCTTGGATGCCTCTGTACGAATTCATTGAAGCATGTAATCACGAAATTCAAATTTTTGTTCATTTTTAAATTGATTGCCAATATCTACCTCCTTCACAACTACACATGAAACATCAAGTGATACAATAGGTTTGAGGAAAACATTAGGATCCAACATATCTAACGAAAACATAAACATAAAATACACATGAACTTTACCTTGAATTTCAACTTCTTTTGTTCGTTTTGATTTGAAGAAACACAATAATGAAGAAGATTTGGAGTGGAAATTTTAATTAAGAATGGAAGAGTTTTTAAAAAGGGTATATGAAAAAAAATAGACATGTAGTCTAATTATGTAGGTGACTGTTTTTAGCAATAACACATTTCATTTTTCTAGAGATGTATCTCCAAAATAATCTAACATACAAATGTGAGAAATTTACAAATTTTCGACTAATTGTTCAGAGATACATCTTCATTTAACTCTAGAAGATGAAAAATATATCAGATACATCTCGTGAAAAAAATATGTTGGCCTATACAGTGAAACTATTTTTGCTTGTTGGCGTGTAAAACAAAAAATGCGTTGGAAAATGTATTTTTGAAAATTGAAGGACATTTTTGATTTTTCAAATGACTCTTGAGAAATTCCCTTTATTTAAACCATAAATCAATTTCGTAATTTTTTTTTTAATAAATATACACTTACACTATCATCCAATTAAAAACTATCATTTTGTCATGTCATAAATTAAAAAAAAAAAAAAAGTTTAATTAGATATATGATGATGATTAATTGACATTATAAAAATAAATGCATGGCCTCTTTTCTTAAAAAAAACCAAAATCAACAAAATCCACCGCCCCACCGAGCTTACCTCGCCGGAGAAAAGAATAGGCTAGACGGAAAACGCAGAGTTGGTCTCCGGCTTCCGGAAACAGTGTGGAATCCAGGGTTTTCGGGTTTTTTTCTTCTTTATTTCGTGATTGATAACATAAATCCCAACATTTAGTTTTTTTTTTCAAAGTGAATTTTGAGTATGACGGTGAAGATAATTTCAGTAGATACAACCCCGAATTGATAAATTGTGATAATTATACATCAGTTAAATTTTCACAGCATTGTAAACTATAGCCGGAGCATAAAACCCGATATTTACATTTTCACTCTCTATCCAAGTTATCGAATGATGAGTTTCATTAGTTAACCTAATAATTGCTACTTAAAGATTTATTTTCATTTGTATGCAGAATTTAACCTAATAAAGGGCTTTTCATGAAGCAGTAGAAAAGGATGGTTTAGAAGACGGGGAAGGACTTTTCAAATTGAAGGATAAGGGAGGTGAAGACGAAGTAGAGAGTGAAGACAATGAACTTGATGAGAAACTGGATGGATATTTCGGTTGACAAAATTATTATTGTAATACTTGTGTTTCCGAAATTGTATTCAGAATCGTATTGATTTAGGCTATTCACAAGTTACTTGTAATTGCGAGACAAAAATAAAAACACTGTTTTTTTTTTCATCAAATTGATTGTCTTGACGTACAAGAAAACAACTATAGCAGGTACATGATATATGTATAATTTAGTTGTCAACATTGAGTAAACTTTAATGTCATTAGTAATAAGTTTTTATATTAAATAAAGTAGTAGGAAGATTAAGAACCAATCTAATTTGGAAGGTCAAAAGTTACTAAGTTATGATAGTTTTTATTAGTAGCGGTTATCTTTTCTGAATTGTAAAAGTCATTGGGTCTATATAAGAACAATAGTGTATTTTATTTAACAAGAAGCAATATAGAAAAGTTTGCCTCTTTCTCAAAACCAACAATAGAAGTCTGCTTCTTTCTAACAATTTGGCATCAGAGTTCATGACAAACATGATGAATCAAATGCCGTTGCCACGACTAACGAAGTTAAATTATGAAAACTGGAGTATCCAAATGAAAGCTCTTTTTGGATCTCTAGACGCGTGGGATGTGACCTATGAAGGGTTTGAAGAACCAACAGAAGTTGGGGGATATACGACAGCTCAAACGTGAAGGGGTAAGAAAACACTTAGGGGGGGGGGGGGGGGGTTGAATAAGTGACTCTTTTTCTTTTTAAAACAAAGCTCAACAATAATGGAAGGACAGGGTTATTTTTATCCTGGTTTGTTTGAACTCAAACTACTCCAGTCCATCCGTCAAGGTGATTTCGCCTTTCTCAACAAGGACTTAATCCACTATAATCAACTGATTACAAACACACAACAACTGTTGTGACTAACAATGCACAAGTAATCTTACAAGTGACTAACACCACTAAGACTTAAATCTAGTCCTAGTCTACTTGAGAAATCTGACCAAACTTGGTCTCTCAAGAAACAATTACAAGAGTTTAACCTTACAGATAGTGAAATAAAATTTGCTTCTAATCAAGCTATATCACAACTGTGATTTTTCACTTAGAATGAATTTGCATAAAGTGTATGAACAAAAAGTTTGTGAGCCCAGAATTTTTCACGTAGTTTCTTGCTTCTTTTTGAAATTGATTGGTTAGTTGGCTTGCAATAAATGTCCTTCTATATATAGTAAGAACAAAATGACCGTTGTTGCCTTCAGAAAAGTGGAGAGCATTAAACGCTTGCGTGTTTCCTTGCACTATTCCATTTTCCAAGAAACTAGTTTAGACACTTGAGTGCTTGCAGCCGTCTTTGCATTAATGAGCAAACGACAACTTGTAAGAACATGTTTCCTACGCTTGACAAGACAAGTTGGCTTTATCGTTCTTTCAGAACATGCTTCAACGTCTTGAATTCAGAACATGCTTTACTCATCTTCTAGGCAGTGCTTTTCTTGCTAAGAACTTGATCAGCGATTGCTTTCAAATAACTTTGAACAACACTTGATTTCAAGTAATCTTCTGAGCAACGAATCCTGCTAAATATTAGAAGATACATTTAAATAAATTGTCTTACCAGAGTCAGCAGTTGCGCTTAAAACAAAAAGGTTCTTTCATTAAAGAACTTCTTCATAATTTTTAGCTTAGCACTTCAGAATGCTTCTGTCAGAACATTATCTGAAATATTCAAATATGTTCATCAGAGTATAAATTATCTAAAATATAATTTATTGTTATCATCAAAACTCTGAGATAGATCAGAACTAATCTTGTTATAACAAAACGAGGGCGTTGA